AATAGCTTGATCGAATGCGATTTCATATCGGACGGGTCTCTTTCCGTCAGCCGCGGATGTTCTTCCTTGGACACTGCATTCATTCTGCTAGTCACCGCTAGCATGATATAGACGCACCTCGTTCTCATGAAGGCTATGGCGAGTGCTAACTCGCTAATTCCTAAGACGACATATTTCAGGCGAAAGTAAATTCGCACAGACCTCCCTGCTAAGGTGTGTGGCACGGACTATTGTGAGGGCACGAGCTTCGTACACGGTACGGATAGGGAACTGGGGGATTGGAGCAACCGGTACAATACTACTGACATAAACTGAAGATGTGCACGATATTTGTCCTGTGAACGTGACGTCGTGTTGATTGTGACGGGGGCATCAGAAGGTCGATCGAGTAACAGTCGACGTGTGTCGTTGTCTTCCCTGAAAAAGCAATTGATTAATTGTGTCTAATAACATTGAATTTTGTTACTACATTTTTAGGTCGGCCTCTTTTCCCACGCTTTATATTTTTCGTGACAGGAGTACCATCCAATTCGGGTGGAATTTGAAGGAGGCAAATTCGAATTGAATTTTATGCGCTGTGGGTCTGCGTCTTCAACAATTTTGGAAATAAGTGCTGAATCGCGCCTGCCTCAAGAACTCTGTATGTTCTGCTCCAATCAAATGTAAGCTCACGAAAACTCGCCGTCGCGCTACATCGGTGCGTCGCCAGATGTTTCCATTTCTGAAATCTCAGAAAGTATTCAGCAGTTCCTCTGGTAGAAAAGTCAGCTTGAGACGAGATTGTTCACCCAAGTCGCAGAGGATCGACTCTCTGTGACGCAGGCCCGCTTCACAAGTGACCAATAAATTTAGTTAGGTCGCCCCCAAGTAGGGTCTATTTTACGGTTCTAGGGGTCCTTAACTCTTCAAGCTTGACCCGCCTTCTGGTTGAAGCCGGGTTGATGATTAACAGCATCTCACCAATTCTTTATTAGTGAAACACAAAAAATTTACAAAAAGAGACGGGGCGAGATGCGATGAGAGATCGAAGGCCACTGCCTTCAGTGGCGGCAAACACCAGACTGAATCATATTGATATCCCTAGCGTACAATCCACGTCAGTGAGCGTCGCTAACATGTTAGAACAAGGTGGGACAGATCTCAACAGGTGAACACGGGTTCACCAACAGGTCAACATAATACTAACTCCATGGCACCCCGCCACAAACGGTTACTTACATACCCATATATGACCACACAATCCCATATTTGAAACTGACATAAGGAAAGGTGGATAAAAGGATAAAAAGTAGGATAAAGCATTTGCCGTTGATCAATCCTTTTTTGGGATGCGGCACGCATTCTACTTCCATTTGTACATTCGTAGTGGCGTTTGAATGCGATGTGGCCTATACAATGACTTGCGGGGGCCAGCCGATGTACAAGTCAGTGTTTTTATCCTCCCAGACAAGTCTGGTACCAATTAACCGACCCCGGAGGGATGGAAGGCTTGGTTGGCCCGGGCGACTCACGACCCAGGATTTGATCCCGGACCGCTTCGCGTGGTAATCGTGCCTTTTGCCACTACACCACTTCCGCCCTGAGGTGGAAAGGTGGCTGTAGCTAGCAATGCTACTCCACTCACCTAACATTTGTTGATCTATAATACTTTTTCAACAATAAAATAGTGCTGGGTATTCACTTACTGCTTTTTTTTTACTTTTCTATCCTTTGCGATTAGTGATAAAGTTTGCTATTTCAGGGGTGCTTCAGGAAAATCAGCATTCCGATTCCAAAAAGCTACATCACGTTAGGGAAAACACCTCAAACTGTCTTCCACATGGGCAGTATAGATCTTGAGAACAAGTATCTCAAAGAGACGATAAAATGTTTCAAATGATTTTAATATAAACATTTTCTCAATTTTGGGGCAATGCTCCATCCGAGCTGTTTATTTGTGCTTCAAGCCGAAGACTCTATGATTAAGAAATGTGAATGTTGTGGTTCTGAATCGAATCTGTAGGTGCTAAATAGCCCCTCAATGAATTTGACGCGCATGCTGCCAATGATGAGGTATGGTTTATTGCATCCGAAAATAAAGGTAGTTGGTGCTGCTGACTTACCGGAGAAAAGCAAAAAAAAAACGCTCAAGTTTTGAAGTTAGATAACACGCAGGCCGCATCGGTGGAATTTGTGCCATCCATGTAAAAGTGTCAAATTAGCAAGCCCACGGCTTTACAATACTCTCACCGTGCTAGAACAAGGCGAACCAATGAGCTTCTTGTGTAGTCGGCTGCAAACCCCGCCCACTCTGCAAGATCGCTACAGCAGTTTGGAGATTTTTTCATTTTCCTTCACCACTACGGACCATTACCCATGCTCTCTCCGTTTTGGGAGCAATATTCCCTACCAATTCAGCGCGGAAATACCTTTAGAAAACACTCTACGGAGAAACACCTTGCTGAACTTGTTTCGATCACGATTTGGAGTTTGCACCACTTGAAGGCAACGAGCTATTGGGTGGCCGCTGAGGAGGACTTGCCAAGGGATTCAGTAAGGTCAAGATGAGTGGCCAGATACCGACAAAACGTCACTCACATGGCGGGTGTCGCGGGAGGGTTAGAGTCACAGAATAATATTTACTTAGGTCCTTGCCTAGAGGGTTGGTACAAATTGGCATATCGATTTGATTCTGCATTAGACTGGTAACTGCAATCATGAATCCTTTTCCTTCTACTTGAGGCTTCACAAAACAATCAATTCGATGAGATTGATTGCCAACTCTTGTTCATTCTCAGTTATAATCTCAATCGCAAAATTTTTAAGCCAGCTCAAAATCATTTCGCATACACTGACAAATACGATGAATGTTACAGAAACCCGAGACAAGTTTTGGAAAAGGAAGGTTCAAGTGAGTGGGAAATGAACTACAGAATGCGAGAACACTCCGCGAACAAATGTCTACTCTCCTCCCCTGTGCGGAACACCCAAACATAGGCTGTAATTCTCTTTTGTTCAGGCTTGGATCACCTCCTCCTCATAAGTACTTGTGATTTGATCGAAGTGTACTTGAATTCCCATGCAAATACTTTCCCACTTGATCACGAAATAGGGTTCTCAGAACCAAATCTTCCCTCGAGTCCCGATCATTCTGAACCGACACTCGGCGAACACATATAGAAAAAGCGAAGTTCCTCACGCTTTTATCATAACGCTTATCGCGAATGAATTTTGGGCCGACTACGTTTATCAGTGACCTTTGCATCGGCTTTATATCAGCACATCAGGCCCCATGATACTGGCGCGATCAACACATCACGAGCACCTTCTACGGTCTTTTTGGCACCATTGCATCACGCTAGGTGCAAATTTTACTGAAACCTCCATGACTACCGCGATCTATGGATTGATATTACTCGCAACGGTCTGCTCGTCATACAAGATCGTATTGTTCGCGCCGGACATATCAAACAGTCAAGTAAGCGTATTCACCTATATGGAAATAAAACGAATTCTGCACATGAAGCGAAAAACTTTCAAAATGAATTTGTGTTGGGAATCCAGAGGCGAATTGACCGTTTGCCATCCATTCCAAGTATTTCAAAAGAGGAGTTGCGCTGTGGCATAATCATTCACTGCTTTCATCATCATGCACACAAATGAATTTATTTTGATTCTGTAGACGCGTTCTAGCATGTAGATCCCGATCTCTAAAGCGTAAAACAGTTAGCCCTTTCCGTGGAAGTTTAAGGAAGATCAGTAAAAAATCTAAAAAAAGCTAAAAAAGGTTCACCAGCAATTTCGCGTGTTTTGAATAATGTATTCTGACGGTGTATCTTCAATGTGTTCACACTTCCGCTTCTCTCTCGGCCATTCACATTTACACAACCCTAGAATGCGCAGAGTTGTGTACGCTCAAGCATAGTAATCCCTACAAAATATCACTCGAAAGGAAGCGATTACGATAAAGAGGGAGCACACCGCGGAAGTGTATGCGCCACAAGCAGTTACTTAACTACCAAGGGAGCGAGGTGTGGCGCATGGATGGGGATGGTTCAACAAAAACGCCGTTGCGTGTACAATCGCCCATATGTCCACGAATCTTACAGCTGCGCGCTTGAGTGAAAATCAAGTCGGCAGACAGAGGGGTCCTCTTTTCACTTTTCTTTAGACGAATTATTCCCGCTTTTGTCGCCATAGGCGTTATCACTGAGCACCCCTTCGTCACCTGTAACCCCTCTATAGGCTACCGTAATCGCTGCCCTCTAAAAGTCTCCGGACTTGGGTATTGAACACGGCCTACAGCGCAATAACTTGGTTATTCTGCAGCAATTGCACACGCTTTTTTTTCTTATGGCACAGTTGTAGCTGTCGTAAGCATTTCGCATTATCCCACAACCCTCTGTCCCTGTAGCGCTAAGCAATAATCTAGAGGGTTTGGCCAAAAACTTTGCTCATGCCGCATATTAGGTTTCAACCCGCACACATTGTCGTAATCGATGGAAGCCTTTCATCATAATATTCCAGAAATGTCCCTCCATATGCAAACGCAAGTCTCTGTTCACTGCCTTCATCCTCTTCATAATTTCACGTCATCTGCAATCGCCGTCGAGCCCAAGGTCTTCCGTAATTGCTGCCAGCCAGAGGAAGCTGCATACCATGCATTTCCTAAATCGGTTAGTCGATGGGTAGCCTCCCAGAAAGACTAGCCACCTCTTCCGATCGGCCTTTTGAATCACATCGTAATGGTCCACGCACGCTAAGTTCGACATCGCGGCACCATGTTCTGTGAGAACACCTCAATGCCACGATGTACATAGAAGGCTTTTATGGAGTTTATAGATTAGTTGGAATACGCTTTTCACTTTTTATGATGGATTGCAATTGGGTTGTATGTTGATCAATGTAACTGAAAAGTCGGGGTAAGCGTTCTTTGCTACCCTGTAAGACCACTCTTCCTGCCATCATTCATTGATAGAGCGCAAAATTTTCATTCGGTGAAAACGGAAATTCCCACAAACTTGGAGAAGGAGTTTCTCTCAAAAAATCAGATATTATTTCAGCCATAAAGCCACGGTGAGACTAATCATCCACGATAAGGATGAAGGAACAGAAAAATTGCATTTGTTTTGGTAAAAAAAATTCCAAAAATGCTGATGCACGTTCAAATCACCGCCGGACATCTGTCACAAATGCTGGCGACGGGAATGCTTCCACTTTCTTGGAGTGCCGTCACTAGAAACTTTCTGGCCTTTTGACTTATTGCATTCACATCTCACACTTCTACTGCATCCTATTCTATCGATCGATTTGTCTCTACTCTCCAAAATCGCGCGCTTTAACCCGATTCTTTCATTGCGTCGCCTGATACGTAGCCGCCCAAGGCGGACTTCTTTCCATGCCCGCCTTTGGCTTACCTTCGATTGTCCATAGAGTGTAGTTTTTGTAAGTTTGTTTCTCTTCGGAAACCGAATCTTCATGCGTGAAACTTTGTATGCTGTCTCTAGTGATCACAACTGACATATGGGTGTCGGGAAAGAAACTTGGTCACCGTCAAAGCATGCTCAAAAAGTATAGGGTCCGTAATGCCAAATAAGAACTCATGATAATAAAGAAGTTGATCAATCACTTTTTGCAATGAGTCACGCATTCGAATTATGCTCAATAATTCTGAAGACATATGATTGATTTGGCACGGCATGGTCACAAATAATCCCTAGATTGAAAAAAAAACATATTCGTCTGTTCAGGTGGGATGGAATAAACGAGTATCAGAATCACTAGCCAGGGCTGGCCACGATGTCACCGTTGTTCTGGTCCAGACCATTGATGATCCTGACAAGGATATCAGCTTCGGCTCTGAAGTCAAAAGTAAGCTCTCTACTCTACAGATTGAAGTGAATCGTGTACGAGTTTCCCATTGCTGCTCATGGTTTCAGTGGTACCAATCAATGCTTCATCAGGTTTCTCCAAGAAAGAATTTGAAGGATTCATGAGGGATAGCGTGTTCGGCGTGAGTAAGCTGGAATTGTAGAGAAGGCTATTTTTCTCTAAAAGGACTAACGCTATTCCCTACTTCAGGATCTGCCTTTGTGGGATTCAAGACACCGAACCCATATGGAAAAATTTATGGGCTCCTTAATTGAAGGCTGCAAACGTAAGTTCTAAGAAGTATTGAAAATAAGGGAAAAATCGGTTCTGATCAATCTTTCCTAAGAATGCTCCATTCATTCTTCTTCCACTCAAAACTGTAGCATTGCGAGGGCGATTTAACACATTGACGACAGCGCGGGGATATATGTATATCCCGCGATTTGCAGGCCACGTCGGACCGTGCGGGGGGATATGTCTCCGCACCCATTCCATCATGTATACCGCGACAAATGCGCCAAAAATCCGACAAAATCGCGTCGGTCCCACCTGGCCAAAAACACCAAAACTCGCATTGTCGTCAATGTGTTAACCAACACACTGAAAGGGCCAGCCAGATTCCCGGATGATCACTCCCGGATGACGATTCAGGCTTTAATTGCACCGCGCACCTCTTGCAACGAGACCACTTTCGCTCAATCTGGAGAATAATAGTGCATTATATGTATAGAGTCGTAAAGTGTCCGGCCGGAATGCAAGTCATGCACCGCCATGTGAATGAATGCAAGCTACATCGAACCGTATCATCTGCGCGACGTAGTACCTAGACGTGCCCACAGCCAATCCTCAGGAGGGTGCGGTGGTCCTTGGACACCACGTAAAGAGAAAGGGTATTCCAGGGACGCTTAGGAGTCTTAATCGATTCATTGCCTTGACCGCGTGGTCCTGCTTAGTTTTATAGTTGCAAGTCGTCTTTGTGGAGAACATATATTGCAAATTAAGCTGTTCAAAAATGAAATCTTTCATCAAGAATGCTGGGTTGTGAAGAAAACTTCTCTCCAGGTGGGACTAGAACCAGCACCCCGCTCCTTTTTGCTCAAAAGGCTGAGTTGGAATGAAATGGTGCCCCGGTAGCGTAACTGGTAGCGCACTTGCCCGGAAAGCGAGAGGTGCGGGTTCTAGTCCCGCCTGGGGCGAAAGTTTTGTTCACAACCCAGCATTCTTGTGAAACATTCGCAAGGCGAACTGCGGCCAAAAACAGCAGTTAACAAACAAATTTTCATCGCTTTAATTGGTTCCGCAAGAGAAAATAATTCAGTAACTGTGCAGAATAAGAAGTTCATGAAGTGGCTCACTGACGAAAAATTCGACATCGCATTCGCCCACATGTATCACACCTGCCCAATTGCGCTGATTCATGCGGCAAAGATTCCCACATGGATATGGTTACTCAGGTAAACTTAAAGACTTTTTAGCAACTATTCCTCTTTAGCAACTGAAACTTGTGCTTTGACACTTCAACTGTCAGATATTTCGGCGCTATCGCAACAATAT